AAATGAGACACATCAGCTAATTAAATGGCTTCGAAGGCTTTCACCAGCCCGCGGTGTCATTTGGCCTCTCCGTTCCCAGTGAAGAATGAGTTTGCCCTTATATATCTTTTGTATTTTTTAAAATATTTTTATTGTGCGTTGAAGTTTCTATAGCTGTTTGATTGCTTTTGTGGGGTAGAGTCGCTAGCCCTACGCCCAACCCTTTCCCTTAACCCGACCTTGGCACCAGCTAGAAAACTAGTGATGCAGTAAACTAGGCGAGGTTTCATTCCATATCGATGGAACATTCTCGCCTCCCCATACTCTCCTAAAAACTCCAGTCAGTTACATCACGAGAAGGTCGCCACTATCTTTAAAAAGGGCTGGGTTTAAGTGCCTGAAGCAGTTTCAACACAGAAATGCAGCACTTCAAGTTGCCACACTCCATGTTGCACAAATAAGTGGGTAAAAGATATAAAATAAAAGATTCAAGGAGCTATAATAAGCAGGAACGTGAAAGAGAATAAATAGTAACACGGAAAAAAATGGTGGTTTTGTGGATACGGGGGAAAACAATGAGTGAATGCATCTACGTCACTGAAATTGGTATTAAGTCATATCACCCATGGTCTCCAGGCACTGGTTCTTAGCATCCAGACAGTCTATACTTCCCTACGTGGCTCAGACTAAGTTTCAAAGACTTCATAGACAAGTTTTGGCTTGACTACCCCTGATTCTTTCCCAACCTAATTCTATGTCGTCTAAAATTGAGCAACGAGAAAGGCGACGGCTTGACATTCGAATATGTGTCCTTATCACTCCAGTCGTTCCAGCCTCACAACATCATCGACTAACTTTCCCTCCCTCCTTACCTAATACTCGACACCTAACCTAAATATTACTCACACCATTATACCACCTAACATGGGAGATAGAACGTAGAAACCTGTGATCAAAGGCAGCCAGCCCGCCTTTTCATGTCTCCCACTTTCAATGTCCACCTCGCATAGCCATAAAGCAGGACAGAGCGAACCACTGAGCAGTACACACGTCCTTTGATTGAGAATGGGATATCACAAATACTCAAGAGATGATTTAATATGGCGAATTGCACATGTGCCGTATGTATCTGTGAAGTGGCCAGCACACCCACCCACTTCCTTAACTTAGGTGTCAGTGCAGTTCATTCTTGTAGCATCATCTTACATTTCACTGCATTTTATCATCTCCTTCACGTAGAGGGACAGTATCATCAGCATAGCCTAAACATGGCACCAGTCAATGAAATCCACAACAGTTAGTTTAAGCCACGTAGGAAGATGTAGACTGTGTGGCTGATTGGGGTCCTCGGGACGGTAAAAACCAATGGTTGGAAACAATTGGTGACATGGCTCAAAATCGTTTTCAATGGTTGGCGCAGATGCATCCACTCCTTGTGACTTATGATTTCCAATGAAACTGTTTTGTTCTTCGTTATTACTATTCCTTTGTCTCACACCTCTGCTTACTGTCTCTGATATGCATTTCTCCTACTTTCTTCTCTTGCTTTGTGTGCTACAAGGAGGGAGTGTGGCGACTTGAACTGCCGCACGTATGTGCAAAGTTCTATGTCGAAAACCGACCGACCGACCGACCATAGCCTAAAGTTCCCTTAGGCGTTTCAGCACTTGCAATTCCTTTCGTGTCTCCCAAAAGTTTGGTGATTTGATATATAACAACCATGTAAATAATGTGTGGGAATGTGAGACAGTCCCGTTGAACTGGTAAAAGTCTTTGGTTGTCGCAAATTAAAAAAATGGAGACAAACTATCCTGTGATAATCATAGAGTCATCAGCTTGGCTAACACGTCATCATCCCATTCCTACTTATGGCTGAGATGTGATCACTTAGAGTGGAAGATATGAAAACGCTAGCTGTCTTCGACCACAGATGTCTACGTTCCATCTCGTGTGTTATGTGGTTCAATATGGTGAGCACTATCGAGATTCGAGGTAAGGAGGAGAAATCAATCGATCAAGTTTGTGCAGCTGGATAGATTCAGGTGGCTACGACGCCTGTTCCAAACGTAAAGTCATTTCCCTCATCATCAAGAGATGTAAGTTGACAAACGACTGAGTTGAAAAGGAGTTCAGGTTATCGAATCAAAACAAAATAGCATAAATCGATGAAATCTTCGACTGCTAATGTGAGCTAGCTTTAAAGGGAAGTGTAGACTTTCTGGATGGCGCCTTGGAGTCCTCCTATCTAATGACGGCTGCAGACAATTGGTGAAATGGCTCAAAATCGTTCTCATGGATGGCGAGATGCATTCACTACTTGTGAATTATAATATCCATTGAAACGATACTATTCTTCGTTATTACTATTCCTTTTGTCTCATATCCCTGCCTACTCTCCCTATTATGCATTTGTTTTACTTTCTTCGTTTGCTTTGTGTGCTACATAGAGTGTGGCGACTCAAACTGCTGCACATCGGTGAAAACTTCTATGTTGAAACCAGTCGGTCAGATCTGCTTGATACTATACTATAACTGGAAATCAACAAAACAATCGAAATAGAATCGTGGTGTAGACCAGTTAGTAGTCGATTGGTTTGCGCACTTGTAGTTAGAATAGCTTGAACTGATTCCGCTCTCCGATGAGATGAGTCTAACCGTACTCACTGCTGATGACTTTGGTGCAAACGAGCTACACAGTCGTCTCACGTTTAGATGACGTCGACCTAACTCGCATGCACTGATGTTTGATATGATAATCATATCAGTCGATTGCATATACCACCACGCTAGACTACCTCTACCAGCTTGAATGTAATTAACCTACTGAAGTTCAGGAAGGCGGAAGGACGAAGGACCAGACGAAATTCCTTCGTAAGCACTCAAAACATATCCAGAAATCTTAGATGATATGCCCACACGACTATTGCAAACAATATGGGAGGAAAAAAAAGGTATCTATTCACTGGAAGAATGGCTACCTTGTCAAACTACCAAAGAAGAAGGACAACTTAGGTCTCTCCAAGAACTGGCGCGGAATCATCATCCCGTCCACGAATAGCAAAATATTAAGTCGCGTCATCCTGGGAAGACAAACATGTACTCTTGATGCAGAACTCCGCCTCACATAACAAACTGGATTCACGAAAGGCAAATCACGTGCCAATCAAACAGCAACTCTACACCTCATTATCGAGCAGAGTATAGAGTTACAATCGAGTCTCTATCTCAACTTCACTGACTTTGAATGGGACTTCGACAGCGTTTACTGTGAAGTAAGTTGGAAACTACCTCAACACATGCTAAGTGCAGTGCCTCAAATCATCACGAAACTCATTCAACCACAGCTATGTGAAGACGCCACAAGTTAAGTGATCCACAACGGAGAACTCAGCGAAGCCTGTGAAGTGTACTACAGGAGTAAGACAAGACTACCCTCTGTCACTGATGATATTCCTAACTGTGGTAGGCTGGCTGGATTGTGTGTAACACCGCAGGTATGGAGTGAGAAGACAGGAAGGAATACGTGGGACCAGTAGGAAGATTCTAGTAGATCTGGATTCTTCATGTTTAATGTCACACAAACTCAAAGACGTACGGGTGCAAACCAACAAACTGGCAGAATAAGCAGATAGTGAAGACAGGACTCCAAGCGAACATAGAGGAGACGGAGGTGATGACAACCAGCCAACCACAACTATAACAAGCACCAATCAACGGGAGGAATATGGAGTAGGTGATGTCTTTCACTTATCTGGGAAGCATCGTTTCAACGACATGCTGCATACTGAAGATCAAATAGCCAGAAATAATTAGCAGCAGCGAAATTCTGGCGGCCAACAAAGCGACCAAGAGCCGATTGCTCAACAAATATTCCGAACGAAATGGAGATGAATGGAATGGATACACATTGAAGAGACTGTCGAATAACATCACCCGCCGCCAAGTCATCTTCTATCTTTCGAGTGGAAGTTGAATTGGAGACGACGATTTGGGCCTGAGTCTGAGTGTGAGATGGAGGAGATCGTGTGAGGAGGAGGAGATGAGAGACTATGGGCAATCGTGTGACTAGTTGAAGAGGGCCACAGAGTACAGAACAAAGTGAGTGTGTGTGTGTGTGCTGTTGAAGCCTTATGTTCCACTTGGAATGCAAGGGAATAAAAGTATAATACATTGCTTCTGGGGGATCAATTTCGCATGAATTTTACAAAGTTTTTAATGCGGAGATTAATCCCATATGGGATGAGAACTCATTTTTACGACAGATAGTGATAATTTCATAGCTCTTTAGTGGGAGATTATCAATGTCTTAAGCTTATAAACACAATCTGGTCAGTCCCCTGACGAGAGTAGAGTATCACTGACATTAATGGAAACTGTTAGACATTATTTGTCATACCGACAGCCTTAAAGAACAGCTTTCAGCTGTTTTCAGATGTTACTGCCTTACACGCTCTTTCTTACTACCAGTCCATATGCGAGTGCATTTTAATCTTATACGTGAGACTTATACAAACCTCTACACCCGTTTTTCACCTGAATAAATCGATGAGTGTAAAAAAGTTGCTTTAAGTATTAACGAAATGTCTGTCCCCCAGGTAGCTCTACATGCCGGTATTCATTATGTCTTGTAAAGGCATCCAGTATTCGTGCATACTTTCCACGGGGTTCAGTAGCTCTACTGAAATCCTATCCAGTTTGATATTTGGCTGTAGTAGCATGCGTGATCAATTTGCTTACATTAACCTGTATGGGAGGATGTTTTCAATCAGCACCAATCTGCAAACTTGGCACACATCTAGGTTTGATTAGCACCCAAATAAGTTTTTCAGAATGGTTAACATTCCTCTGAACATCCAGTGCATTGTAATGGGTACAATGTTCAGGAAGATTTCAATGACAACCGACATCTAAGTAAACTGACTATCGATCTGCACTGGACATTATATCATTTAACGGAGAAATGTGGAATATCACCGTACCCTAATTCATAACATTTACACATATTGATAACGAGTTCCAGATTAGATATAAAACATTTATTATCATTAATAATTTCAGTTTCACGAAAGAATTATTAATCTTAATAGTAATAATAGTAATATTGGAAATAATGCATAGTTTATCTGTTAGACTGTCTGAATTGTCTTCAGTAGATTACCTCCAACGGCCAACAGTTGTAGATATTCATCAGCACCATCAATTAATCGAGAATCAGCGAGCTAAACACAAAGTTTAATAAAGATAAATTATGTAAGTGAATGGAACTAACAGTGATATAATTATAATAATAATATTTCGAAGTCAATTTTTCGTATTAAAACAATAAAAAAGAAGTTGTTTTTTTAGAAATAAAGTACAGTGTGATTACATCAGCCTACTAAGGTTAACTCAACTTGACACATAAGTGAAGTGATCAACCTGTCGGTGCAGACTAGTCCACTTCGGCATTATCTTACACACTTGACAGGAATCAATCCCCATATCAAACAAACGTATTCCTGACTTGATGAGAACACAAAGTCTCTATTAAGGGAAGAAATACCTGAAGACATATCTAGTATTGACAGTAATAGCCATCCTGAGTGAGTCTGGCATAATAGCCAGGTTAGTGTAGAAGCAGTGGTAACGGAAGTCGAAGCTACAAAAGCCCCTCCCCCTAGTAGATTTCACTTACTTCATCCGAACTCATAGACGCGAGAAGACTGATTTCTGGAGAGCACAGAATATGACGGAGAGCGAAAGCTGCCCAAATGCGAGCTGACTAGAAGTTTTCGAAACAACCGTGAGCAATAATGAACGACAAAAACAAAAGAGATGGAGAAGGCATCATCGAAGGTAGGCAATATGTGACAACTATTTACACTCAATAAGAAATCGGGTTGTAAGAAACCGAGGGTAAGGGAAAGTTTCCGAGATGGACAGTATGTTAACTATCTTTCAGGAGATAGACGACTATAACGCTGTAGGAAAGTCCAACTACTTGAATGAATGTTAGACATCTGTCCTCGAACTGCAACTGAGGTTGCATAGAGTGTTTGTAATCTAAAGAGAGGCAGAACAAAGCAGTAAGAACTGATGGTATCACTATAGGGGTGTTTTAGAACGGTTGGAAAGGAGTTGAGGTGATCAAATCAAAACACTGCAGTGTAAATCCGTGAAGTCGTTGACTGCTCGTTTGAACCAGCCACGTAGACAAGTGTAGACTACCTACCTGACTGGAGTCATCAGGATGCCAAGAACTAATTGCAGGATACTATTAGTGATATGATTGAAAATCGTTCTCAATGGCGGTGAGGAGATGCATTCCCTCTTTGTGGTCTCCTATATCCAATGAAATCGCATGTTTCTCCAAGTTGTTATTCTTTCTGCTGTGCATTATTGCTCATTATAGTTCTTTTGAACTACATGGAGTGTGACAGCAGGGACTGCTGCACTTCTGTGCAAAGTTCCGATGTTGGAACTTAATCAGTCTGTCGGTTCGGTATTTTGTCAGAGTATTCACCTAGAAGGACTGTATCAAATGCATATTCCAATTCGAGACTGTTCTTTCGTAATAATTCTCTAAGTTTTATGAGTTTCACAGTAAGAGGAAAAACAAACTGGTGAAGACAAGACAGGTGTGTTTGTTCTAGTGACAGTGTTCATCAGTCTTTAACAAGTTCTGGAACACAGGTAGACTTATCAACAAGCAACACTTGCCATAATTATTAGTCTGAAAGTAGCATACAACTCCACTAATTTAGAGGTTTTGTGGCAACATTTCACTGGAAAAGGAATACCCAAAATGAGCTAATGAAGGCACTTTCCTGAAACTCATGCACAGTTGTATACAACCTGATGAAAAGATTTTTCTAACATGGATATCTAATGTAACTGTACTTATATTTGAGTTTATCATAAAGTCATCGACGCACTCCTTTACCTCGTTGAGCCAAAAATAATGCTGGTGAAGAGGAAAGGTTGGGCATGAGGCTAGCAACCCAATCCTGTAAAATAAACACTGCTACAGAAACTTCAAGCTACTAGCTTGAAGCCCTATGTTCCACTGGGGAACGTGAAGGAAAAAAATAATAAATAAAGTCATCGACGGATGTGGTTCTGTTTAATTTCGACCTTTCGGAAAAATGATTTGTTGTGTGCGAAATATTTCTTTTTTTTTCCATAGTTTGATAGTATATAAATTGATGGTAACTTAAACTACAAATTGTAACACTTATATTCCGGATGCGTTCATCTCATAATGTTTTCTCTATTACCTTTCAAACACTGAAGTATGAAATGTCATAATCTATAACCATTGTAATTTCAGGTAGTTTGCAGCTGATGAGAACCTGCGAAATAGAATGATATCATTTTATACTGCAAATCTGGTCTTTCTTTCTCTATCGAAGTTTATCAAGGGAACCAAATGTATGAAATATTTCTAATTCGCGAAATATACCCATTAATACATTGAAATAAGAACAAATTAGTTCAGCGAAGAGTCTCTTTTCGGCGAATTCATTCACTAAGCTGTACAGTCGCAAATATATACAATTAATTTTGTGTGTGTGTGTGTACATTAGGTTTGTCAAAATCAAAATCAAAATAACAGTTAGTGTGGGTTGTTGACTACATCATCAAAATAATTAAGAAATTAAAATGTGTGATTAATAATCAAAATTGTAACTAAGTGGGGTGAAGATTGGTAAGATGTGAGTAGGGTTACGTAATATAGACATGTTGAGAAAGATTAGATGTAAGTGAAGGATTATGGAGACAATTATGAAAATAAACTAGATAATAGGTGAAAAGATTGAATGGGTTAGTTACTAAAAATTATTATACGAAGATTGCAAAAAAATTTGATAACAAAATGTTGATGACAGATAAACTTGAAATTAAACCCACGGTAGTAGGGGGTGGAGAAGTTTCTTCTGTGTGCATAAATCAGGCTTTTCTATCCAAATCGCTAAGGCTTAGACAAACCTAATGTACACACACACACAAAATTAGTTGTATATATTTGCGACTGCACAGCTAAGTGAATGAATTCGCCGAAAAGAGACTCTTCGCTGAACTAATTTGTTCTTATTTCAATGAAATATTTCGTTGATTTAGTTTGCGCAGACGATATACTTATTTTACGTAGTGGTGACAACATGCAGTCTTATTAAACATGCTGAGGTAATATATGGGAATGTTTCGCATGTGCTTTCCACTTTCCAAATTTAGGATTATGATAGAGGAATGATCGGCACCAGCTACTAGTTTAAGGATAGGAAGCGAAATGTTTAAGTGTGTATATCATGTCACTTATTCGGGAGGTTGCACCAACCCTAATGGACTGACGACATCTCAGTACGAACACGGAACACTGGTCCGGCATTTCCTGACTTGTGATATCCAGCTGCTCATCGAGCGAAATGTGTCTCACTCACCAAGTGATGCTATCCTGTTTTACGCTTATTAGAAATGGCCAACGATAGTAGGTATAAAGAAATTAGGAGTTTTTGATAAGAAGTTATGTCTTCACTCAATTTATTGCTCTGGACACAACAATTTTTGGTATGCAATGACTTAAAGCCCCTCTGTGAAAGCGGGTCGATCAATTAAACTAATACAGTTCCACTGAGTGAAGTGGGTAAGGCATGCGCCAAACCACATACTTGCTCGATAGACAGTGTCAACTCAGTTTGGATTAGGTTAGAAAGAGTTATAGTGTTGCTGTCAAAAATTGATCCGAGCGATCTAATGTGTGGATCACCTTGGGTCTCCGTGACAGTGAAGATCAATGGTTGGATGCCTCCCACATCCAATGATGTAGTCAAAGACACTCCGTAGAGTTATTTGTCTAGTATCCAACTGGACTAAATTACCAACGTTAGAACTGAACGAAAGTGCATCAATTCAATTAGCAACAGCACATAAAAAGCGAGCGGTTAACAGCTCTCAGCAAGAAAAATAAAATTCGGATTCTCAACTCCAATCTGAAGTCAGTGCTACTCAAAATGAGGATCAGAGACTTGGCACCGTGACAAGAAGGACACTTAGAACAAACTATGCACCTTCATCAATAGCTGTCTTCGTTCAATACTTCTCAAGATCAGATGGCCGGCCAAAAAATATCAGCAACAGGCAGAGATCTCTGGGAGCGAACGGATTCCAGCAGGAACCAATCGTGCAACAAATATGCAGGAAAAAATGGAGGTGGATTGGACATACTCTGAGAAAACCATCAAGTGAGTGACATCACACGACAGGCTATCGCTCGAGTGGAACCCGAATGGGAAGCGGTGAGTTGGTCGTCAGTGCGAGGGTGGGGTGACATGGAGGAGGTCATGTGAAGAGGAGATGAAAGCATGTGGGCAGACGTGGAGCCAGGTGGAAACGTTGGCAGAGAACCAAACGCAATGGAGACGTTCGGCTGAAGCCATATGTTCCTCTGGGAACTAAAGGAAACAATAATATAATGATAATAATTCACTAAACATTTCAAACCAACAACAACAAACTAGGTTATGGACTTGTGTCACATCCTTATCTGACATTGCTTACTTTTCCAGTTCAACCTCGTATTTCTTATTACTGCTGACAGGATACTGTGAGGTAAATAATGATAGAAACGTATAACATGCAACCTAGGCATTTTAATTGCTAGAATTTAACTACAAAACCACTACATGATTTTATAATATTAACAACTTACAGCCAAAGATTCCAGAATGGATGCTTTCTGATTGCAGGATAGTTTTTCTAAATTGATTATATAATCGTGTAACTGATAAATAGTTTGATGAGCTGAATAACCTTCCAACAATAGATTCTGAAAATAAATATATTTTTCAAAAAAATTGTTAAATAGAGTTTCTAAAGAGATAATTCAATGACGGGACTATGAATCCGTTTGTGCTTACATAACCGTTAAGTAAATTCGAACGCTGCAAATTATAAAATGCGTATATATATATATATATATATATATATATAATTACAGGGAGAAGTCATTTAGTTGGTGGTGGCTAGTAATAGAATACACGATAAACATTTCCACCTGTCTGGGTTCGAATCTCAGTGGGGACACCATCACTCATTGAAAATACAGGTCCTTCCAGCTGGCACGTCCCAAATAGGACGGCACGCCAGACCCAGAATCTACTGCTGGCCACGATTAATGCTAGGGCGTTATCGAAGAGTTCCTACCCCAAGACGATATGAGAACAGAAACCGCGCATTTCGGTATAATAAAGTCAATTAACGCGAAATTCAAATGTGAAAATGTTAACAAATGAGAAAATTAAACTTGACAATTTAACTGCGGTTACTTATATCGCAAAAGCTTAGGACCAAATACTATGGAACACATTGTTATACACTGGTTTATTAATGAATTCAATTCGGGTTTCCTGTAACAGTCTCCTTTTCTCGAAGGTTAAATTTTTTTTCTCATTTTTATGCATTGACTGTATCTGCCAAATACAAAATTTACACAACATACACACACACACACAGTGGGCAAACACATTTCTGTAGTGTCAGCGAAACTGTGCATTTGCACTCACTATCACAATCTACAAAGCTGAAGAACTTGTAAGATTTTAAGTGATATCATTAGACACCTTGACAAAAGTTTATTTAATGTCAACAACAGAATTTCCAGACATACAAGGCGATGAAACACAGCTGCATTTAATTCTCTATTTTGATTTCTTATCTCAAGCAATATTAAATTACGGTTAGTAGACATGAAAAACATTTTCGTCTCAGCAAATGTGACCCATTTGCCCAACTGACTACCTGACTAGTGAAGTGAATGAATAACAGCGCCATAGTTTTACTTGCTACACTTAGCAGCAACTGCTTATACTGTCTTAGAAGTGTCTGACGATGAAGTTGTAATGCTAACGAGAAGGGGAAATGACATCAGAAAAAAATGTTGACCACCACCCTCGAAAATTGTACATCACGACAGAGACAGGATTTTCCATAAGGCTAGAACAACAGGAATGTTGAAAAACAGAAGTGAAAAACGTTTATGTTTAAGTATCTGGGCTAAGTTAATACTTATCGAACACACTTGTTTGCGGGAAGAAAACACCTGTGTCTGTTTCAGTTTCATTTATCATAATTTCGTCCCAACAATTATGTTAGGAAACAAATCGATCAGACGTAGGTGGAATGACTAACTTTCAAACCTACTGAAGTTAAGTTGAAATATCACATATACGATTAAAGCCCAACCGACTTATTGATTATTGTTCCCTTGGGTTTAGAGTGCAGCATAGGGCTTCGATGGCACACACACCCACTTTGTTCCGTTTTCTGTGGCCCTCTTCAACTGGTCACACAATCACCTATAGTCTCTCATCTCCTCCTCAAACGATCTCCTCCATCTCACACTCAGACGCAGGCCCAAATCGTCGTCTCCAATTTAACTTCCACTCGAAAGATAGATGACTTGGCGGCGAGTGATGTTATTCGACAGTCTCTTCAATGTGGAGTTCTGCATCAAGAGTACGTGTTTGTCTTCCCAGGATGACGCAGCTTAATATTTTGCAATTCGTGGACGGGATGATGATTCCGCGCCAGTTCTTGGAGGGACCTAAGTTGTCCTTCTTCTTTGATAGTTTGACAAGGTGGCCGTTCCTCCAGTGAGTAGATACCTTTTCTTCCTCCCATATTGTTTGCAATAGTCGTGTGGGCATATCAACTGAGATTTCTGGTTGTGTTTCCAGTGCTTGCGAAGGAATTTCGTCTGGTCCTTCGTCCTTCCGCCTTCCTGAACTTCAGTGGGTTGATTACACTCAAGGTGGTAGGTAGTCTAGCGTGGTGGTATATGCAATCGACTGATATGATTATCATATCAAACAGCAGTGCATGCTTGTTAGGTCGACGTCATCTAAACGTGGAACGACTGTGTAGCTCGTTTGCACCAAACTCATCAGCAGCGTGTATGGTTAGACTAATCTCATCGGAGAGCGGAATCAGTTCAAACTACTCTAACTACAAGTGTGCAAACCAATCGACTACTAGTCTACACCACGATTCTATTTCGATTGTTTTGTTGATTTCCAGTTATAGTTTCAACATAGAAGTTTGCACCGATGTGCAGCAGTTCGAGTCACCACACTCCATGTAGCACACAAAGCAAACGAAGAAAGTAGAACAAATGCATAACAGGGAGAGTAGACAGGGATATGAGACAAATGGAATAATAATAACGAAGAATAGTATCATTTCAATGGATATTATAAGTAACAGGGAGTAGATGCATCTACGATTTTGAGCCATATCACCGATTGCTTCCAGCCATTGGTTTTTACCGTCCCGAGGACCCCAACCGGAAAGTCTACACCTTCCTACGTGGCTGGCTCAAACTAACTGTTGTGGATTTCTCTGACTGATATCATGTTTCGGTTTGACCACCACTAGCTCTTTTCCAACCCGATCCATTCTATGTCAACTAACATTGTCCGTCGAGGAAGCCGATGGATGACTAGGTATGCATGCATAGCACATGTCCTAACCACCTCAGTCGATGTCACCTCACGGCGTCATCTATTGATTTCTCCTCTTTACCTAGCACTCGACGCCTAACCTCAGTATTGCTTACGCTACTATACCATTTCATACTGGAGATAGAACGCAGGCACCTATGATCAAAGACAGCTAGCCTTTTCATGTCTTCCACTCTCAATGGTCAGGTCTCACAGCCACAAAGAAGGACGGAGAGGATTGCTGAACGGTACACACGCCCTTTGGTCGATAGCCAAATATCACGTCTACGCCAGAAGCGATTGTAGTGATTTCTCACCTGTGACTGGCGAAGTTGAATTTAGGCTGGTAATCTGTTCATCGTAATTCACGGACACTGCACATGGTTGACTGCAAAAAAACAATGAAAATCAACTCAGTCAAACCAACAAAGTCAAACTCACTTTTATGATTATTTGTAATTCATCGAAATTACCATTTTCTGATGTTTTCATTAATTGTTTAATCAGTTCACTAGGCACCACAGCTGCAGCTTCATCTAACTCTTTTGGTGTAATTGATAAATTAGAAGAAGTATCGTTGCCGGAATTCTTTGATGACATTATTAACTGATGAACTGATTGTAGCATTGTAATACCTTGACGTAGATCACCATGACAAAGTGACAGTAAGTGATCCAATGTCTAAATAGTTACACCATAAGAAAGGAAAAAGTTGATCATATATAACGACTGGTCTAATAGTTTAAGTTTCTTTACAATGCTTAGTAGAAGAGTCGTAAGACTGATGAATTAGTGTCATGTCTGATCCGCGACCGATAGCTGCTACCTTGAAGTGGTGGTTGGGTTTGCATATAGCAATGACAGCGACTAGACTAGAAGCGGTTACCATCATAGTGTCAGTCGTTAACACTATGCTAGGGGAGGGTCTATGGGCAAAGTTGTGCTGCTGGGAAGCAGGTATTTAGCAGCAATAAGGTGCTGCCTTCAGATGGCCAGCAACGCCTCCTCTCCACTCTAGAGACGGGAGGTTCTATGCCAACGTTTCCACCTGGCTCCACGTCTGCCCACATGCTTTCATCTCCTCTTCACATGACCTCCTCCATGTCACCCCACCCTCGCACTGACGACCAACTCACCGCTTCCCATTCGGGTTCCACTCGAGCGATAGCCTGTCGTGTGATGTCACTCACTTGATGGTTTTCTCAGAGTATGTCCAATCCACCTCCATTTTTTCCTGCCTATTTGTTGCACGATTGGTTCCTGCTGGGTCCGTTCGCTCCCAGAGATCTCTGCCTGTTGCTGATATTTTTTGGCCGGCCATCTGATCTTGAGTAGTATTGAGCGAAAACAGCTACTGATGAAGGTGTATAGTTTGTTCGGAGTGTCCTTCTTGACACGGTGCCAAGTCTCTGATCCTCATTTTGAGTAGCACTGACTTCATGCTGTTGGTCTCTACACACACTTGAGGGAAATGAATGCTTGCCTTGCTTTCCCGATCCTCGATTTGATATCCTCATCATTTCCGTCCACCTGTAGTTGACACGATGCTTCCCAGAACGGTGTGCAAAGGAGGTTGCTTCTTTCAGATTTCTCCCATTCATGCTGATTGTTGTCTGTTGCTGTTGGCCAGGAATGCTCATCACCTTTGTTTTCACCATGTTCACATGAAGTCCTTTCTTTGATGCTTCTTCGAACAACTTGTTGCCTATTCAATTGCATATCTTCCAGTTTGTGGGAAATCAGACATATATCATCGGCGAAGTCTAGATCCTACATTTTTTTTGCGTGGGTCTATTTTATGCCTGTTTCCTTGCTGCCCACTGTCTGTTTCATTATCCAGTCTACCGCAATCTGGAAAATCATTGGAGATAGTAGCAGGCAACCAGCTTGTCTTACTCCCGTCTTCACTTAGAAGGATACCATGAGTTTCTGCTGTGGATTACTTAGTATGCAGCACTATCATACAACTATTGGATGAAGTGTATAATTGTTGGCAGCACCCAGTAGTAGCGAAGCAGTTTCCAAATCTCCTCTCGATTGAGGCTGTTGAAGTTCAGGTGGAGGAAGAAATCTTAAGAAATCGGTATTATTTTTTAAAAAAACATCAATACTGTGAATGACGGTTATTCTAGAAAATTTTATACACATATATAATTGTAGGAGTTTACCGAAAAGAACATTCTTTACTCAATCTTTCTATTGTCTTTTAAATTCTATTTTACACAATTCCTCATTCAGTTGCCATCACGTCATACCACTGAATCTTACAATCTTAATTACCGAAGACTGTATGCGTAAACTACAACTTTTTTTCATGCGGCAATTCTAAAGCAAATCATGTATCACTATTATTAACTCTTTTCTAGTCACGGAAGTATACCGGCCCAGTAAATATGCGGTCATATATCTTGTTTGCGCCTAGAAATGAGGGCAGACAGATGAGAGTTTTATACCTAAAGCAGGCTTTATTCAACTACGAACTTATTGGGAATGATGCAAATTCCCAAGTGCGCAAGTTTGTTTAACGCTTTCAGTAAGTTTACTTCGTTTAGTAATCGGACAAGTTACAATACACACGTTAGTCTTGAAGTTACACTACACTTGGTAGGTGAAAAAAATGTAAATTTTCAACTATCCCGAAGCAAGGTTGTCTTCTTACAAGGTGTCTAATCATCCTTGTAATGTCACTCAAAGAAAGGCAAACCATTACAAGCATCCCTATGATACTCTAGTGATAGGATTTATAAGTAGTATATAAAGACACGTTCATCGGCATAAAAATATCAAATAGCGGAGAGATAGATTTGACGTCAAAGAGAGAGAGGGAAAATGATGAGCCAGTGTGGCAGCAAATCAAGGGAGACGTGAAAAGGAAGACAAGTTAACACAATACGAAGAGCAGAGGTGGTACAACACAGAAGATCTGTGCAAATGACGACTTCAATATATAGTATACATTATTTCCCTATGTAGAGGTATCAAATTCCAAACAAACAACATTCCGTTACCAAGTCTCTTGTCTTCTGCAGTTACAATACTGCTTAACGAAAAAGGAAGCGATTGAGTATCCTAAACAAACACGCCGGTCAATGGGAGATATCACCGCATGACTTCTACATTCGAAGAGTAAAACACAATACTTAAGTAAGGAAACACTAGCATCGCAAGGCCGCAATTACTTCCGTAATTTTTAAACCTTTGACTATTCGTTTTAAAACGTGATAGTAAGATTTATTGCTAAGTTCTGATCTGCTTCACTTGGTCGTTCTACAGTTTAAATTTAAACCACAACCTTGGAAAACCATTGACCATTTCGGCATGGTGGCGATGATATTCTGACCCGGTCACCAGAGAATTAGTCACTTGAATAAATAAATTCGTTAAAGATTTTTTCTACGATCATATGACACTACTTTTTACAATGAAAGTAGCATACCGATATCGAAACAAATTCTTCACTACATAAAAAATAAACCTTACTTCATCACTAATTGATAAACCCTCTGCATCTGAAATATGCCGTAGGCGATCCCGTGCAATTTCATTATCCAATGGACGAAATCTAAATTTTGCACAACGACTTGTAATTGGTTCGATAATACGCGTAACATAATTACACGTTAGGCAGAAACGTGTTGTTCGCATTTCAGTCTCCATTGTACGCCGTAAAGCAGCCTAAATATTGACAGGAACACGGAACAAAAGAAAGAAAGGTAAGAATATTACTAGGACATGATGAACTCCTATGTACACATTGATAGTATATCATCATCTTTCACGCATACTGTGATGAATAATGCGATCAATCATTTCTCACGGCTGTGAGGCCGACTTTGTTGTTGTTTCCCTAATGGTTGTTGTTATTGTTGTGATTAGAATATACAGTCACAGGCCAGACTTTGTCTTTTGATATTTGCGTGGCTCAGTGAATTGGAAAGTACCACAGGCAGATAGGCATATTAGGCAGGCGCATACAGAACAAAGTGACTACGGTTATCATTCAGTTCAGTAGCAGTTATAACACAAATAACGATGGACAGATGAATACTACACACAATGAAAAGTCATGAACAATATTCTCAAGTCCAAGCAATTTGTATGAATTCCTTTGTGTAACGAGAATTTGAAGAGACTGCAAGACGATTATCCTCACTCACGCGTAAAGGAGTGAGATCCAACTAACAACACGACTAGACACTTAAATCGTAGTACCAACTTTATTCGGTAAGATACTTTCTAAGGACATTATCTTAAAATGACTACTGTAAAACTGATCAAGACATCCAAGGTCAATGGAGTTAGCCTTTCCATATCCTCCAGTTTCACTAATCATATCTCAACCACAAAGATGGGTAGAGCAAACTGTTGCGCAGTTTACTCTGCAAAGAAGCACAGCAGTCCAAGTTGCCACATAATAATAAAAATGATTCAGACGTGAGGAAGTAATTTAAAACTAACTTATTTGTCCTCTACAAACTTATTGCACTTCTACTAAACGATAAAACAGATATAGATATTTAGAAAAAAAAACCATAAGCTCATCAAAAGAATATATATATTTCTCATTAGGTACTTCTTCACTAACGGCTCTAGATACACCTATATATATATATATATATATATATATATATATATATATAAATCCTAACTGACTTCAACAACTCGGGGATTGAATTGTTGCCAAGTCTCGTAGAATTAGAATGTGAGAATGATATTCTCCTCCTAGATGATAAATACGCTAATAAAATGCAGAGTCTTCTGAACACCTTGAACAGAAATCTTCTAATGTTTGGCATGCAATTCACTCCTGTCAAATGTAAGATGATGGTGATGGACTGGACTACATCGACTCACTCCTGGGTTAAAGATAAGCAGGAGTGAAGTGGTGACTGAGCATGTTGACGACTTCACTTATTTGGGAGTTGCATTAGCCAACGCCAGCGGGTTGGTCGCTAACGAAATCTCAGTATGGATACAGAAGGCTCGTGTGGCATTTATCAACCTGCATTGCCTCTGATGCATATGTGATATCCGCCTGGCTACCAGTCAAAGGACGTGCATACTGTTCAGCAGTTCGCTCCGTCCACCTTTACGGTTGTGAGACATTGCCATTGAAAGTGGGGGACATGAGAAGGTCGCCTAGCTGACTTCGATCACAGGTGTCTGAGTTCTATCTCCCGCGTTAGGTGGTGGTATAATATGCTGAGTAATATTGAGGTTAGGCGTCGTCGAGTGCTAGATAAGGAGGGAAGGAAAGTCAATCGACAAGGTTGTGAAGCTACGTCGATTATGATGGTTGAGACATGTGCTACACATACCTAACCATTCATCGCCTTTTTCTACTGATGGGCAATGTTGGCTGAAAAAGGATGGACCAGGTTGGAAAGAAGCTAGTGGTGGTCACACCAAAATATGGCTTCAGTAGTCAATAAAATCCACAATAGTCAGTTTGAACCAGCCAACCAGCTACGCAGGGAGGTTTAGGCTTCCTGGTTGGCGGGTTGGGGTCCTCGAGATGGTAAGAACCAATAACGACTGCAGACAATTTGTGATATGGCTAAAAATCGTTCTCATTGATGGCGAGGATGCATTTACTCTTTGTGATTCATAATATCCAATAAAACTCCATTGTTCCTCCATATTACTATTCTTTTTCCCTTAAATTTTTGTTTATGTATCTTTACTGTCTTCTGTCGCTCTGTGTGCTACATGGAGTGTGGAAACTGGAACTGCTCTACTTATGTGCAAAGTTCTATGTTGATATCAGTCAGCCAAAACATAGCCTTTTAAAATTAATACACCGAAATTATACAAATCATATGGTGGTGTGTGGGTCAATAAAAACCGCCAATTTTGAGGTATTTGAGATGAAAATAATTACAGAAATCAAGACCACTTAATTTGTAATGGTTAACAACAGGTTATTACACAATCAATAATTTGTGGTGATGATAATGATTATTCAGAGGAATTGGTGAAGTAGATTTGTTGATAATTACATAAGAAAACCAAGATACAAAGAGGTCAATTGAATTCGCTGATAATTAGTAGTAATAACAATGAACTTCTTGGAAAGAAACATGAGGTTAACAAGTATCAAATCCAGGGTGCCTACAGTTCCGAAGAAGTCAGTACTCCTAAGACTGCAATTTATGGCAAGTGTTAAATGGCGAGACTGTGCCGCAGCATTTGAGAAGCGCCCTCAGAAGGATTTCCAACGTAGCTAGGTTGTACTGTTCACTCTCAATCCAACTAGTTCTCGGTTTGTAAAATAGAACCAAATTGCCTAATTTTTAACTTTCCCATGTGGATTTGGGAGTTTTATTGCACCCGTGGGGAGTACTTCAAGATTGACGGTTCTCATTGGCGTAGTAATTTAAAAAGGATATATATTAGTCTAGAGCCGTTATTGAGGAAATATATTTTCTTTCATAAATTTGTTGCTTTTTTTCTAAATGGAAATTTTAAATTACCAACACGATAAAGTAAACAAAAAGGAAGGTAAATAAACAGATATAAGTGAATTCAAAAGTTATCTAATTGGTGAACTATGGTTCTTTTGGGTTGTTAATACTATAAGTAAACGAATAACTCGAAATAAATTTAAAAAGCCATATATTCATTGGACAGTAGCAAGAAAACTGTACCTGAGCAGGTGCTGTCATAGAATCAGCTTCATCCAAAATAATTAATTTGTATGGTGGAACATTATGTTGACCCGAACCAGAGCTACTGACAGCAATGTGAGCAAACGCTTTCACCTTCTCTCGAATGACACTGATACCTCGTTCATCACTAGCATTCAGTTCCAAAACACGTTCTGAGTATCGTGAGCTAAAATGGATATTATGAGGGAAAAACACATACGAACGTTAGTTCATGTCACAAGCATACATTCACAGAGAAAACGTGTATTATGTGTACACTGTGATAATGCATACAATAAATACAGTAGCTTTTCAAAATAAGACGTCAACGGATAAGTTAATTCACCTATCATCTTCAATATAAAACCCGATAAAAATAAGTTTTCGTTTATCTCCACTATGTGACAGAAGCTGTTAATTTAACTATAATAATCTGGATGGTATTTAGAAGAAGACAATCATTCAAATGATGAGATTACTAATACACTAATTTCAATACGGAGGAAGCAGTCAAACAATACGATAATAATGAAAAGGGATAAACACATTGATTAGATATGCGCTTTCATTCAGTCCAAATAAAGCAAGATTCGATGCTTTGCGTGACTTCTGATAGTAAAGAGAGAAAACCGTAGCAAGGTGGCCACATATTTCGAATCAAAAGCATATCTGATGAGGCCGCAAGCTACTCATTTCTACAATTCCACTTAGAAATTATTGATGTCCCATACAAACATCCTTCACACCATGGTGCTACGATATGGATCTTTCATTTCATCTTTCAACAAGTAGCACGGCTAACGAACAATAAAACATAAGTAGGCTGGAGAGATCTAATTCGTCACACATACCCAAACTACCAAATCAAGTATCTTATGACTCTATAAGCCCAAATGAAATATTGGCTGAGGTAAAACTTGACAGTAGAACTCATTCGTAATTGTATATAAGCTGACATTCATCACTGAATAAGTAGCGATGATTCGAAGACAGGCTGTCAATTACTGGGTTTAGTGCTTAACACAAAATCAACATCAGCTAAACTAGACACTTACATCGCTATTAATGTAGCGAGCAAAATGTTTGGCTCACCAAAGACAAGAATAGTTACAAGAAGAGTCGCTGTAGGATTATTTCCCATAATCTCGGTTTTACCTCTATAGCGTTATTGGTTTTGCCATTAAAAGTCTATGGAGTTCAGTTTAAATAAGAGATTTGAGGCTAGAATATGTGATGCCAAGTGCGGTGAATCCGGTTTTAGCTAAGTGACAAGCACACATAAGCTATTTCTACAGTAACACAAAACTTAGCAGCTCTGGGTTACACTACGATATAAATGGACATCGTGGATAATACTTATAATGACACTTTTACTGCACTTATTTCCTGTTATGTATTCCTAGTGATTTCACAATGATACAGCTACATTAATTTTTCATCTTATTCATATTCCCAGTGATTTTAACCTTGATTCTCCGGTGTCTGATCCTCATATATTTATTGTTTTAATTCCACAAGCGACATTATTCAATGCATTTTCATTCAAAATTTCCGTTAACTTAGTGTTGAAATGAGCAGCATGTTGCTAAATTATTTTAGGTATTTGAAAAGCCTCATGTAGAGAATATTGTTTGTTAGGCGAAAATCCTGTATTCTACTGTATCTGTGGATAGGGGATAACAATTTATAATTACACGTAAACTGAATCAAGCTCTCGATTCAGAAAACGCAGATTAAAGAACAAAAGTAAACGAACACTAATCACATACTCTCAGATCTCCATGTTCAATTCAAAATAAAACAAGGTTGTTAACAAACATTTGTGTGCATCCAAAGCCTATTTTGTAGTAGTCACAATAACAATTTTGGTATCGAAACTATCCGCTGATTACACAAAACTGCAGAAACAATGAGTATGGAAATTGCAACCTAATAATAATATTCAGAATTCCACACCAGCACTCGAATTGTTTTGGAATTTCGGTTCAAAACATTCTTACCCGAATAGCTGCCGAGCTAAAGCCAATATGAGAGATGTTTTTCCTGTTCCTGGAGGCCCATAAAATAGCAGATTTGGCAACTAAGAAAGATGAAATTTAATTGGCAAAACTTACATCAGATCCCTCAACACATTTTTGCAGCACACTAACAACTTCTGTTTGGTACGCAACTTCATTTATTGTTTTTGGTCGGCTGAAAACAATAATGATATCACACGGAAACTAACTATTTTTCAACCCAAGGAACATGTTTCCGGCCTTTTACACGTCCTTTACTTTCCTTAGGTTTTTGTTTAAATGCACTAAGGAAAGCATCCATCACTAGCAGGAAATGACTGATTGGATAGAAACCTCTACAACGATAAAAAAATACCAAATTTAGATTACACCTATGAGTAACGATTTAAATAATTTTAAAGTATTGTTGAGTTAATGTATGCGAGGATTGCTTCAGTACATGAATGCGGATGCGGAACTATCAGCATCTCAGTAATCACTTCTCAAGATGCAAAATTAAATTCTACTCAGTGGCGATGTCTAGTCAAAGAAGATTAGGCGAAATGTCAAGATCTCCATAGCACATATCATAGTATATTTTACTTGCGCGAAAATACGTTAAATATTTGACAGAGTAAATACGCATTTTTATGCTCAAGATCTGGGGTAATAACGCTCCAAAGCCAGGTTGAACCACAATTACCTACGCCCAAGGCCACGCTTGACTCTTAAACCGCCGACTAACCTTGAAGTATTTTTTTACAATTGAAACAATCAGTAAAACAAATACAAAAGTATGTTGACACTAAATACCTTCTCACGAAATCTATCGATAAATATATGAAATTCTCACAGGCCCACAACATCTCTCATTCGAAGGACCCAGATAGACTGCAGGCAAATCTAATGCTTCTGGAAGGCTGGGAGGCGGTCAGCATATATTAAATATCATCATACAGGGTAACTTTGCCGAATCCCTCATGCACTAAATCCATGTTTTAATGGACATCAGTGTTCCTTTCAATAAACCCTTGCACAACTGTCATTTTCTCTAATGATAGCCAACGTCTAGATAGATCGGGAGAGGTGAAACTTGCTGTGCATGGATGTTTGTGAATAATTTGGTAGGTGGCCATCGTGTATTCTTCAGATATACGCCGTGCTGTAAATGTTGACTGACATGAAATATCTTCGGACCTTAAAAACTCTAAAATTTACATGCATGGCCAACTAACCTTTTGTTCCTTAAGCCAGCACCTCGGGGAGCACGTTTACCTTCAAAAGTGCATTCATACCTCACATACTCGTAATCCACAGGGCCGGGTGGGTCTATTTTACTTAAAGTAACCCCATAGGATGTGTTGGATTTCTTTCAAAGAAATAATGAACAATTTATTTAGTACTTTCATGAATATATCAAAAGCTTGCTTGAATTGTACCCACGTATAAAATACACGGCAAAGCATTATTCTTTGGAATAAAGCCATTACATCAGACAATATAGATGACACATTTCGTGAGGTAGAGGCAGTAGGAGTATTTTGTAACGTCGTGTAACACGATGGTCACCTACCGAACTGTGCATAACCCGAGATTGCTGTACGGACAATCTCTTTTAGCACTTCTCAGTGTTCATCCACCGATAACTCATCCCATGCTTAGGACCAATCTGCGTTGGACAAAAGCCTTCGAATTTCAGCATAGTCCGCCTTGCTATAGCACAGACATGGTCGCGTAACGTTGCACTGCAAATGTTCATGGAAATCGAGATGGAAACCTATGACTGCATGGTCACTACTTCCTAGCGGAGTCATGATCTAGACCTTTCCGACGAGTATTTGGTCACTAGTTAGAATGTAGTCTAGTTTCGATGACTTTCCACCAGGGCCCCACCTGGTGTCGTCTCCAACACTCTCAATCAGTCCCGTATTTCGAATAGTTTGCAGTAGATTTTGCCGAATTTTCCCTTAGCGTACCCAGAGCCAAGGTTCAGTGATGGGGCATTGAAATCTCCAGCAACGGTGATTTGGTCACAGCCCAAGTCCCGTATCCCTGTGGTGGTGCTAAGCATTAGCTGGCTGTACTGTGCTCCACAGGAGGGTGATCGGTAGATGCCACCAAGTAAATGCTTGGTGTGGCCTACGGTGAAATGACACCATATGGAGCCTGGGAGTTCAATAAAAGGTGGGTCCGTTGCGCGTACACATTTAAGTTGCCTGTCAAAGTATATAGCAACTCCCCCTTCTTCTTTATTATCCGTCTTTCCTGACCAGAACCATATCATCTATACTGATTTCGTTGTCGGCAATAGTGGGGATTAGCCATGTTTCAGTGAGAAAGATTATTTTAAGGTGTAGGTGTGACTGGAGATTTCTGAGTTGGCCTACTTTTCCTCATGTCCTCTCACATTGCTGAATAGGCAGCTGATAGTGAGTCTCACAACCTCAGAGTGTTGTGGGGTAGTTGACGTGAAGCTGTCTGCTGGTAGGGGACTTAATGTTGGGACTAGTTGGCCGATTCTGATGGAACCGGCCCGTTGTAGCTTTTTCCATGGATTTAGGTAGGACACTTGGGTGACACAGAATGCTATTCTCAGTACCGCATCGCTCGAGTGTCACTGAGGCTTGGGGATGTATTAACGCCTCAGTTTGCTGCCTCCTTATGGTTCGAGGTCTGCTTTCGCAGCATCGGAGGTTTCCCTATTTTCCCCTTGGTCTCATTCCACCGTTGAAGAACTATGTCTAACTGCTCCGCGGAGTTGAATGTGATACTTAGCAGCCTTGGAGAACTTATCTGTGCGAGATGAGCGGGGCGATGAAGTCGGTAAGTGGAGATTGCTCCAGAAGAGCCAAAGGCCATCTGAGATGACAGCCATCTCCATTGCTGTACTTCATGCATGTGTTTTTCACAAGCAGCGCCAGCTTCCAGCTCCGGAACACCGTGTACGACCATAGAGCTAGAAGGCATCAGTGACTCCCTCGCCATTTGTCTATCAGCCCATGGTCTATTATGTCTCACCCTTATGGTAGAGCTCCTGTCAATGGCCAGTACCTGATCCAGTAATAGTATTCTTCCGATCTCATCTAGTCCAGTGTAACCCTTAATGGGGTGGCTTACCCTGAGGAGCGTGGACACCACTGTACAGCTAACACTATTTCACTGAACTAATGTTCAGACCTAATATATTGCAAAAGTTGGACCACTGTTCCTGATCAAACAGGGCCCGTTGTTCAAGCAAGCTATCCTTGCTCACAGGTACGTAAAAAGGGATAAGAGAATTAGACCGACTGGCCTCTGACTTAGGTTTGGCCTTTGGCTGCTTGTATTCCTTTGAAGGGTCAGTCACTGTAGGCTTCATCATGTTTTCACCAACCTTTGCTGTGTTGCCAAGCTTGCTGGTGGATGTAAGTGGTGCCACGGCAATCCTATCTTTCCCTGATGTTGTAGGTGCAACCTTAGGACTCTTCACTTCGTGAAGATTGGCATTTCCAGTCAGTTGGACTGGAGTATCCTTCTTACTGTCTTTACCAAGTTTTTGGTAGTGTGGTGTTAACATATGGGGACTTTGTTGAGAGAGACTTTGCTGAGACACAAGAGCTGTGTACTGTTTCTGCTATCTATACACAGGCTGTGTTGGACTGTGCCAGGGCGACAAATTGGACAGATATACCAGAACCATGGCCATGGGTTATTACGCACAAACTCATAGTATGATTTCGGCGCCACTTTGTCACAACGGCAGTGTACCCATCGTTTGCAAAAGTTGCTTCCAAACGCTGAGTCAGTTTTAGAAACGATGACACTGCACGCCTGACATTCGTCTCCCTTCCTTGATGATGCTTTCGAGGTCTTATGACGTCTTGAGCGTTTCCTCTTTGTTTTTCTGTTTCGCGCACTGGCTTTCAATGGATGCAAACGTAGTACCCTGTTCACCTGGTATTGCCTGTGCCGCTTCAGTGCTAGACTGTGGCAACGCACGCGTAGTATCAGAACAGACGAGACCTACACGAGTCCTTAGGATATTGTGTTTTATTGCTTTTTCTAAGGCTACTTTCAACAGCCACATTAACGATCACTATAACTTACGCTGTATGCGAATAAGAGAGCAACAGTATCTACCCATAAGACCAGGAATAAGACTGATAAAGTAAAAGATAAGGAAAAGAAAAGGTTTTCGACTTAACCTAGTACTTTCTGGATGATCGGCTTCATAGCAAACACGTGGTAGGTAATAATAATAGTATATTCTCATTTTTTACATGAGGGACGCCAGTTTACAGGCATCATCAATATGATAAATTACATATACGATTAGTAAGCATATTTAATAATAGTAGTTTAATAAAATACATTTTTTCCTACGTGTGTAGGACACACCAATTGTACAGGCATGGATAAGTATTACTTAAATTACATAAATTTGGTTCATGGTAAAATTATAAGGTTGCAGTCATTTTGTCTATGGGAACAATATGATAACTAGTCATTCAATGGAACACATCAAGAAATATAGAAATATTGTCTTCGCATTAACAAAAAAACCCACGTATGTTTTGGATGGATTACAAATACTTGGGAAAAAAATAAAGCTTGAAGTAATTCCTCCATATAACTTTGGTGTGTACGGCATCGAGTCTTATTCTTGATTTGTATCCAAATTTGATAATAATTTAAAATAAGTAATACACTTATATACTTTTGTCAGCATTTTCATCGTAACTCCAGAAGTGAATTGTACTCGATGTAGACTAATAATAATGACAGTCTGCATTTTCTTATAAACGGATGTTTTCAAGAAATGCAAGCTATTTTTGCAGGTACAATCAGTTATGTTGTAAGTTACAATCGTGAAGTATTATAAATCAATACTTTTTTATTGGTATAAAGATATATTTCACAACTGTAATCCAGGTTGCGTCGTTGGTGAAGGCAATGCGCAATTCACGAGGGAATTGTAAGAAATGGGATCAATAATGTTTGCAGATCATTTGTCATTGTAAATGGTCGAAAATGCACATTCTTTGTTCTCATTCAAAAAGTCAAATGGAAGCTGAAATGGTGAGAGACAAAAGAAGACAAACAACAGCAACGCAAAAGAAAGCAAGTGGAGTACTTAGGGGGTGATTAATATGTATATATTTATATTCTGTTTAGTAATTATAGTTATTTTGGTGCACTAACTAACTATCCCCGTGATGCTAACTTTTATATTGTGTGAACTAATATTATTGCCCTGTGTAAAAATGTCTATCATGTACTTCCAATAATATAAAAATTTATAATTGTAGTTTGTTGTAACTACACGTTTAATGAACTCAAAATATCTATGTTGGGCGAAAAAGTGGGTGCAGAAGTGCATCGGCATCTTTGAGCAGTCTGGTGACTGAGGAGATGAACGCTGCGAGTGTGTTTGCATCGCGCACATCAGCTGGTAGTCTATTCCAAATGACTGAAAACTTATTTAAGAAGAAATTATACCGCATGTAAGTCTGACAATGCTCTATAGCAGCTAGGTTGTGATGATTTCTAAGATTGTAACTGATGACAGCGGTAGGTTTAATTATTGGCTCGGAGGAGTGCACGAGCAGATTAGTTAGCTTGTAGTAAAAAATCAGGTTTAGCTTAAGACGTCTTTTCCAGAGTGGTTCTAAACTTAGTCTGTCGCAACGTTTATAGTATTGGAGACCACTTTTCAAACCAAGAATTCTTAAGGTGAATTGCCGTTGCACTCCTTCTAACTTAAGCTTGTCATTTCGTCGGAGTCCGCTAAGAATAAACGGGCAGTATTCTAGAATAGGTCGGACACATACTTTACATAATAAAACCCTAGTTTCACAACAAAAGAAATTGCGAGTTATGCATCCTA